GGTTGAAAATCATGCAATAAGAGAGCTGGGAAAGGGAGGGGGTCAAAAGAAAAATCATGCAAACTCAGAATAGACTTTTTTGTCAGATGGATTGGGGCCTCTGAGTAAGGTGAGAAATAAGAAAAAGAGTAAAGAGAGTTGTAATAGGTATTGCTGTGGACTTTATTAATTGATTTCAGAGAGGAAGGGACAGGGAGAGAGAGCTAGAAACATCATTGATGAGAGAATCATTGATCCTGCCTCCTGCATTCCCCCTACTAGGGATTGAGCCCACAACCTGGGCATGTGCCCTTGACTGGAATAGAACCTGGGACCCTTCAGTCCGCAGGCCAATGCTCTTTCCACTGAGCCAAACCAGATAGGACTACTGTGGAATTTAGATTTAAATTATTTTTAAGAGCCTCTAAGGCAGCGGTTCTCAACCTGTGGGTCGCGACCCCTGAAAATACATCCTGCATATCAGATATTTACATTACGATTCATAACAGTAGCAAAATTACAGTTTTGAAGTAGCAACGAAAATAATTTTATGGTTGGGGGTCACCACAACATGAGGAACTGTATTAAAGGATTGCGGAATTAGGAAGGTTGAGAACCACTGCAAGGGATTTGAATAAGGAATCCAGTTGGGTGTTGAAATAAGCTTGAATGTGTGCAGAGATATGCTCTCAGATATACTAGGGTTACAGTAGCATTGATCTCAGTGTGAAATTATGTTTGTGTGATGGTTTGATTCATGTATGTCTCCTCCTCAGGCACTAGTGAGGGAAGGAAATGGGTCTATTTAAGACACAATCTAATCCCAGCCTTTAGCACAGTGCCCAATGCAAAGGAAGTCCTTGGTAAGAATATTATCTTGAAGAAATAAATGTGTTAGAGAAGACACCGCACTTGCCTGATTCTAACTCATCTCTCCTTGCTCCCCTCATTCTATGGCTACTACTGTCCTAGCAGAATCCCACCCAAATCTATGTTATTGAAAGAACAGACTTCAAGGAGACTCCCTCTTTGTTGTTGACATGTTGTCAACTCTTTTGTGGAGCACCAGGTTATGCTCCTTATAGCATAACCCCCTGGGCAAGACACTTCCTGCTGAAAGCCAGCTTCCAGGCCCATGGTTAGAACTCTCGGGGCTCTGAACTCTCCTTCTTAATATAGAATGTGGAAGTTCTACAATCAGTGGGAAAGAAGTATGCTAAGTAGATAAAAATCAGTCCCACTGTAGCATAACTCTCCAGAGAGAAGAGATAAAACCTCTTGATGCTTAAGTTAAGAAAAAAAATAAAATATTTCCAGTTCCGGAAACTGCATTTCATTCCTGATGTAAATATAGAAGCCTTTGGCGGGAGGGAAGGGAGGCAAGGGAGCGGAGGAAGGGACTTCGCCATCGAGCTTCACAGCTTCATAACAGTCCGCGTAATCAATCAGTCAGAAAACTGAGTTTATTTTGTCTTTTATCTTTCCCTCCATCCGCATGTTGTACACAAATTCTGGTGGTTCTGACCCCTAAATCTCTCTTTTAATTGAGATTGAGATATCACTGGCACGTAACATTGTGTAAGTTTAAGGCGTACAGCATGTTAATTTATGACCTGCAATGTGATGACCACCGTAGCATTAGCTAACACCTCTATCAAGTCACACAATCACCATTTTGTTTGTTGGTGAGAACACTGAAGACCTCCTCTCTCAGCAACTTTGAACTGTTTAATACCGTGTGGTTGACTAGAATCACAGTGTGGAATATCTCTAATTCTATCTGCTTTCCTCCTTTTCATTCTCCTGGTTCAAGCTGTGTGTTCATTCCTTGCCTGGACCATTGCGATGGCCTCCATTTCCCCTCTGCCTCTCTCCAATTCATCCTCTATGCTGCTACCAGGATGATCTAAAATGTACATTTGATCCCTTATTTGCAATGTTCAAGACTCCTCACTACTCATCATTACAGTAAACATCTATTGTGATATGGATAACAAGAGAACAGGAATGAAGAAGAGAATGAGACAGCCACGTGACCCTTTAGAACAGGGGTGGGGAACCTTTTTCTGCCGAGGGCCATTTGGGTATTTATAACATCATTTGCAGGCCATACAAAATTATCAACTTAAACATTAGCCTGCTCCATTTGGTCAAACGTTGAATTAACTCACCCCTAATGCCTTGGCAGGGCCAGAGTAAATGATTTTCGGGCCTTATATGACCCATGGGCTGGACATTCCCCACCCCTGCTTTAGAGGGGACTTGCTGTATATAAAAAGGAGCAGAAAGATGATGGGCAGATTGAAAGCAAAGTGAGGTCAAAATAGTTTTTTTTTAAGATGATATATTTGTATGCTAATCAGAAAGTAATACTGAGGAAGGAGAAATTGATGATGTTGGGGAGAGAGGATAATTCCAGGAGCAACATTCTTGAGAATGTGAGTGGTTGGAAGGGCAGCATGGCCCTGAGCAGGGAGTGTTGGAAAGCGTGCACTTACCTGGCAGTCTGCTTAAAAGGAACTCGCTCATGAGGGCCTTTCTGCGAGGCCAGAGGAGATTAAAAGAAACAAAACCGATCTATACATTTTGCATTGAATGTGGCTACTGCCCATTGCAGAGAAGAGGGAATTTTTTCACGATTACCTAGTCCAGTGGTCGGCAAACTGCGGCCCCTTGAGTGTGGCTCTTCCACAAAATACCACGTGCGGGCGCGCACGTACAGTGCAATTGAAACTTCGTGGCCCCACTCAAAGGGCCAAAGAGCCGCATGTGGCTCGCGAGCCACGGTTTGCTGACCACGGACCTAGTCCATCTTCCCATAGAATCCCTATTCCTTTCCACTAATTTTAGTGGTGGTTTCTCATACCACCAGCTCCAGAGGCATCGGCCGTGGCCTTCCACGCCCCTCTTTCCCTTGGGCCGCTGGGAGAGCTCCTGTTCACAGCACCCGGCGTGGCCTTCTGTGCAGCGTTCCTGGATCTCCATGGATGGGACCTATGGCTATGACCTTCAGATCAGGCTGTGTAAACATCTCTCTGAGGAACTTGTGTTTCGGCCAGAAGTCCCAAACTGACATTCTAGAGCTCATGGACCTTGTTTGCTCAGTGCAGTGTTTTGAAAGTGCTATTTTTAGATTAGATGACAACATTTAAAAAATGAAAATTTCACATAAAAAAAATCCAGAACCCAACAATATATCTGGCATTCTTAAAATATGAAAGAGGGGCACCCCTGGGCCCACATTCCCATGTGGACTGAGGTGCTCTGTGTCAGTTTTTACCCTGACAGCCCCCTTCCCCCCACCTTGTTTAACCAGCATAGCCACTGTGGACAAATAGGGGGCTCTGAGTGTACAAGCTGTGCCTTAGACCCAACAGGCGGGAATTATGACTGCTCTCCCTAGTGCATCCTAGCATCTAGCACAGTGCCAAGCACACATGTGTACTCCACCCACACAGACTTTCTGTACTTGAGGGCACCATATCCATGCCCCAAGCTCAGGTCCTTACACCTGCCCTCATTCCCTCTGCCGAAGGTGCCCCTCCCACCTGGCTACCTCATTCTTCACCTCTTGGCTCAAAGGTCACATCTCTAGAAACCTTCCCCAACCCTCCAGGCTAAGTCAGATCCCACTGTCATTGACTTTCAGAGCATGCTGGACTTTTTCTCCATGGCCATTGTTGGTTTGTTAGAACAGATGTGTGTGGTTGCATAGTGTCTGCTTGCCCCACTCAACTGTAAGGTCCATGAGGACAGGACTGGTGTCTCTGTGCCCACTATGGAGTCCACCAGGACTCGCCTGGTGCCAGGTGCATAGGAAACCTTCAAGGTGAATGAATGAATGAATGAATACTTTCAAGAAATAGGCCTTAAGGAAAGCAGAAGCCAGTCTGTAGAGGTGTGGTTGTCTTTTTTATTCCGAGGCGTGCCTGTCTCACTCTAACCATTCTAGACTACTTTATTTGACTATACATTTGTCTTGTTTGAGATGGTGAGCGTCCTGAGGGCAGATGCCTCTTGTTCATTTTTTTTTATCTTCTGTATCTAATACAGGGACCTGCATCTAATATAGAATTCCAAATATGTATAATGACCAAACTAATCAACGTAGATTCCCTTTTGAAGAAAAGGGTGGCAGCTTCTCTACTTATTAAGTGAATTGGTTACACTCTGTCATCATCTCACATTGGGCTCCATTCCAGAGCAAATGTGCCTCCACGATGCCCAGCACAAATAACCATGATGGTGGCCGTGTGACACCCTGTTAGCTCTGCCCGCCCAGGGTCTGTTGGTCTATGGCCTATTTGCTGAGTTCTCCAGACATTTTACAAGCGTCATTAACCTTATCATGTCCAACAACTGCAAAGTAGGAAAAGCATTGAATGTGCAATTGGGAAGACTTATGATCATGATGAAACTTAAAGCGAAACAGTTTTATAGGATTGTGGACCTATCGGGTGTTTGTGGAATGTTCGACTCCACAAAGATTTGGTTTCACCCAACAGGGAACGTGTCTCACCCACATGGGATTTAAAACTGTGGCTCATGCAGGTTCTGAGTTCGCACACGCCTCCTCATCAATGAGCCAGGGCACATAATTAATTGGGCAAAAGGCTCACAGGGATTAATTAGCAGCTGTATGTGAAGAGCGTGGTTCAGACTTGTAGCACGGAGGATGGTGTTCTAGAATGGCCAGGTGTTGGATTCACAGCTCAGTCACAGCAGGGGTTCTCATTGCTTGCCTGTTGAAATTTGGGGGGCTCTGGGCACCTCTGTGGGCCAGCAAGGGCACATGTGCATCCAGCTGCTGCCAGCAGAGGGCAGCAGTACGCTGTGCGTGTTCAATTTGCATCCCAGATTAGCAAATCCCCAAGGATTTACAAAGAAAGAAAGTGGGTGTCCCAGGATTACCCTAATTTCTTCTCTCTGGGTGTCAACACTGGTCTGAACAATTGCAAACACAGACCTTTTACATTATGTTGGACTTTGGCTCATCTGAAATATTGAAATGAATACACAACTAGGAGCTGCCATCACAGACAGGAAGTAACTTTAATTAAATATTGTGAAAGTTGAAAAGTTTTTACAGCTTGAATTTTTGCAAAAAAAAAAATTATAACAATCTCTACAGTAGTTAGGTTCTCTAACAATTGAACTGTACAGTGTGTGTCTATTCAAAAAGTTTGATAAGAAGGTGAAAGGTTAGTAGATTTAGAGATGACTTCGTTAAGCTGCATTCTAGTACAATGTGAGGCCAGGGCATGTTATGCAATCCAGTCATCCAGAAGCTGTATTTTTCCCCCAAAACTGAAATCTTAGTTCTCTGTTTCATCTTCTTAAAGCCATATTCTGTATTTAGGGGAACATCGTTTACTTGTAAAAGTTTTGTGTAGGAGAAAGAGGGTCAGAGGGCCAGAACGTCTTTTCATCTAATCAATATAAATAGAGGCAACAAGACACAAATTAAACATATTTTAAAGGCTCTTTGGACTTTCAAGAGAAGTTCTAACCACTACACATGGCTGACAGATGGGTGGCGTTTGTTGTCGGGGTCTGAGCCGGACACCTCACCGGCCGACTGTCCCTTCACAAACAGTTAAGGGGCTCACCAGACAAAATATGGCTTTAAATTGTACACTTCTTCAGGCCAGCGCTTACCACACGAATTCAGACAGCCTTTCCGAGTACCGAGAAGCAATGCGTCCACCTTGCTTACATTTTCCAGTTTTTTTATTATTATTATTATTAATCATCATTATTATTTCTCACCATGAAAAATCAGCTTTCCTCCCCTCCTCCCTTCCCTCCCGCAACTCCCCTCCCTCACCCACCATAAAAATCGCACTCTGATAGTCTAGTGAAAACCATTGCAAAATCCATATGGGGGCATGCACAGTTGCAGCATTGTTGTAAATTTCTTGCTCTACTAGAAAAAGTTACATTGTCTTAAGGTAACAAAACAGTTCTTTTGTGCTTTTCGATTTCTTTGTCTTTTTTTTTTCTTTTTCTTTTTTCTTATAATGTTAGTGATGACTGACAGTTCTGGTGCACACTTACAATGTACAAGTGAAATGGATATGATTTGCATTGTTAAGGCATCCAATCTGCTGGTTTATATTTATGTGAAAGACAGAGGAAATATACAAGCAGACTTAAGAAAGAATGTTCATTGATTTCTATGAAGTTTCTCCCCCGAATTTAATGCACAAAATGCGTCACTCCAGAGGGAGAGGGTCCATGCATATTAATAGAGTAAAACAGCATTAGGGGTGTGTGTTTTTGTAAGCTTCCAAAGCAAAGGATACATTTTTTTAAAATCTACAGAACTAAATGCTACAAGAATAATATGCTACTTTTTTGCCATATATTGGAAAAAACTTCTTAACTTACAAATAATACAAAAATAGACAATGGCTTTGGGGTGGAAATTTAAAAAAATTGAAGCATGGTTTAAAACAATACTAAAAATAACTATAAATGAAATGTTTAAAAATCACATTGGAACAGCTAATACAACTGTAGGTGACCAAACAAATACGCACTTTTTCACATAGCAAACATACACAATAAAATAAGTTGGGGGTGGGAGGAAAAGGAAGAAGGGGAAAGCAATGTACAAATTCCAAAGATAAATACATTATTTATATGGATATTTTACAAAATCCCCTTTGAAACAGAAAGCCTCTTCATTAACTTCGCAAGTATGTGCAAGCTAAAGGTAGTGAGCTTCTTTTTCCTTTGCAAAATATGCGGTAAAATCTTTTTGTGATATTGAAAAACTGTCTTAAGACATTAAAATGTATAAATAGAACAACAACTTTGGCAAAAAAATCACAAAAAAATCTACAGTATTTATAACTACATACAAAAACACAACCGCAAAGAAAAAAAAGTATCAGGCAAATGCATCCTCATAGCTTCGCTGCATCTTTGCTATCAATTCTTATTTTTAAGAACACTTCCCAGATAATGAGAGCAAAAAATTGCCGTAGAACAGAAAGCGATGTTTGGGAGGTCTCAACCTACTTCTCCTTTCTCCTAGATTCCTCTTCCTCTTAATTTCAAAGCACTTACCTATCCTTTTAATCTACTATGTTACCAATGGGTAGGGCCACTGAGAGAGGCCCTGTCATGGGAAATGCCTGCCATCTTGCCCTTGTCAGCTTTGGGAGGCCTGGTGGGAAGTCCCCTTTAGGATGAGTAAACTTTTACCTTGTAAATGGCGGGGGTGTAAGAGGATATTTTGGCTTGATAACTGGAGGCATAATGTGGAATTCTGTGCCTGGACCCTGTTCCATAAAGATTCGAAGGAGATTCTCACACAGTCCGTGTGCCACCAAGCTCTCAAGAGGCCATCGGCTTCCGACGAAGTTGACATAATTAAAAGCGAGAATGATCTCAGGTTTAAATCTGCAGTTTTTTAACAATCTGTCTAGAGGCACTGGATTTTTGTGTTGAAGGGAAACGTGTGATCACGTGACGGTCACTTTTTGACTCCAGGCTGCATTTATTTACACAGTTACTTAAGACAACGATACGGAAAGAGAGAAATAAGCTTGCACTGCTAAGGGGTGGCATGTTAAGTTAGATACTGAAAATGCACTGTCTGAGCTAACTACCATTTGATATGCTTTAAGGCGCAAAAGCCGACTCTTAGTTTTCTAAAAAATCTAACTGGCATTCCTATTCTGTCCCATACAAGCTTTTTTTTAATTTTCTTTTTTCTTTTTTTCTTTTTTTAACTTTTTTGTAAATATCACCACTTCATTCTCCCTTTACACGGCTTTAAAAACATCATAAATTAAAACATGGGGTCTTATTTATAGTGTCCCTTGTATACAGCTTTACGGTTTATAAAAGACAAATGACCGCAGAGTTAAGCTTAAAAAAAAAAGAAAGAAAGAAAAGAAAAAGAGGATTTGCTTTTATCAACACAGAATAAATATATCCCCCAAACATCTGGGAGGTACAACTTGAACCAACACCCTGCACTCACAGATCCCTTCCAACTTCAGTATTTGCAAGGTCGGTGATATTGTTTGTTTAAAAATCTGCAGTTATTGTGACTCCTCTGAAAAAGGCCTGAGTTAAAAGTTCCACTCTGGGACTTGTATCAGATTACTCTCTGTAGCAGAATCCAACCTCTTCATTAATAAAATTCTTCAAGGCAATTCTTTCACATGGGAGGAACAATCATGCCAGATATCGCTGTGGAAAGAGAAGACCAAAGTCAATGGTTTTGCCTCCAAACTTCTCACCCAGAAAAACAACAACAACAACAAAAACCACCCCCACACCATTATGTTGGTTGACTATTCACCACAAAAGTGCTCTTCTCTTCCCAGGAATGAGTTTTTGTATGGAATATACAGGTACTTGATTAAGAAGGATAACTACTATGCCAGCCTGGGTATGTGTCTTGAACAGAACAGAAGACTCTAAACACCCCTCCAAGTCTGATTTCCATTTTAAAACATCGCTGGGAAGGGGCATCGTTTGAATACTGCTGGGGAAGTCACAGCCCCAAACCTTGCAGAACAGTGAGATTTTTTGATTTGTCACTCTTTTCTCTCTCCTTCACTTGCAGAATCTAGAATGAAAACCTGGTCCGTCCCAACTGCCAGCACTTTCCACAAAACACCATGGGTGCCTTTGTGCTCTGTTAACTCCCAGACTGAGGCCAGTGCCAGCAACCCAAGCACCTTCACGCTGTCCTCACGCTGGAGAGGCAGCGGCAGCTGCCACGGGCCTTGTCCATGGGCCTGTGAAGCTGGGAGACTGCATGGAGGAGGAGAAGGAGGAGGAAGAAGGTATGCATGAGACTCCAGAATGTCTCCTATACCACCGCTTCATCCAGGCTTCTAGAATGGTCTGCACCTGCCCCTAGAGAACTGTAGCCTTGGAAAGCTGGGGTGAGATCCTGGGAAAAGGGAAGGCTGTCAGGGTCATCAAAAATCTCTCCCAGTGTTCAGTTAGGAGGCCATAGGGAGTGTTTAGAAGAGCAGGGAATCCCATAGACCGGCTTTCTACCTCGGGGCTTCCTGCTTGCTGAGTGTGGTCCCCTGAGGTATCTTCTCGTCCTCAGCTAGAAAACGCAGCTCGTCGTTTGCCAGGGCTGTGATACTGCCCGGCTTGTTGAAGATTTAAGTAAAACTACATATGGGAAGTGCCTGGCCCCTGTTCAGCTCCTAGGCAAGATCTCACAGGGATTAGCTGCTATTTTTTCTAACCCATCCCTTCTGTGTGACCGAGCTGTGTGATCTTGGGTTAGTTGTTTAACTTCTCTGGGCTGATTCCTCTTATATCAAATAGGTACCCTGCCACCCAGCACGCTTCACATGATGGGTGTGAGGAATACAGGGATGTGTCTGAAACATAATTAGTAAGGGTGGCAGCTCTGAAATACGTGGAGATGAGAGCGATGCTTTCATTAGAAGCAAGGGGCGGCCATCATTGCCTCTCAATGGTGGCTTAGCGTGCGGTCAAGCAGAGAAAGTCATTGCTTTTTTTTTTATTGGCAATTCTACATTTAAATTAATGTTCTTGTCAGTGATGACTGCATCTAGGAAGTGACCCTTTTCATTTCCCAAATCTCATGCCTAGAGGAATGTGCCATTAAAAAACACACTGAACCCCAATTAACACAAACTCTACAGTAGATACACAGAGGGAGGGGAGCCCTGTGGGGGGGGGATGGGGGGAGGCACACACACCCGGTGCCTCCCCACCCCCATCCCTGACATTTTAGATTCAATTAAAATATAAGTATTTTGCCAAACACTTTTTCCGTTAATTTTTAAACCCATCTGTATTCACAAGGAAATTTAATCCACATGTTTCTGATTCATTTACACGTAAATCATCCAAATGTTGTTTTGCAAGAGCCGGTTTGCAGTCCAAAAGCTCCTGGAGCCTTTTTCTTAAGCCCTCAAAAGCCATTTTTCTTAGAAACAGGAAGTGCCTCTTGCCAAATGCAGACCAACTTAAACCCCCAAAGAGTTGGGATCGGTTGGAAATGCAGTCCCCCTAAGAGTCCACTGAGCCCTCGATTTGACTGGAACAGGGAGCTCCATATTTCAATCCAAGCCTTCACTTGAGAATTCTAAACCCCCAAAGAGTTGGGATCGGTTGGAAATGCAGTCCCCCTAAGAGTCCACTGAGCCCTCGATTTGACTGGAACAGGGAGCTCCATATTTCAATCCAAGCCTTCACTTGAGAATTCTAAACCCCCAAAGAGTTGGGATCGGTTGGAAATGCAGTCCCCCTAAGAGTCCACTGAGCCCTCGATTTGACTGGAACAGGGAGCTCCATATTTCAATCCAAGCCTTCACTTGAGAATTCAAGATGTTTGTAGCTCCAAAGGTGAGGGGTAGGGGTGTCCACGTAGTGACCGCTCAGCACCCCCACCTCCATGAGGACCTTTCTGTCCAGGCTGGAGGTGAGCCCAGGCACCCTTAGCAAAGGCAGACCTTTCTGAGCCTGTGGCAAAAAGAAGCAAGTCTCCTCCTGCCTCCCCCCCAAATCTACTGTGTGCCTGGCATTAAAGGGCAGATTCCCCACAGCACAGCCAGGTAGCGGGGCAGAGTCAATATGGTGCTAAGCAAAGTGGAAACTGACAAGCTTCCTGCTAATTTGGTCAATGGGTTCAGCCACCATTGATCAGTTGGGACCTGAAACAATCCCATTTGGATGTGCAGAACTAAAAAAAAAAAAAAAAAAAAAAAAAAAAAAAAAAAAAAAGCAGTGGTTTGGTTCCTGGCATGATGTGTTAGGATAATTAGATTAAACCTCCACCAGGGCCATGTTAAGCATTATAAAGCAAGGCTAACTGGTGTGCTAGTCCATAGCTAACAGCTCTTCTTAATCTGGAATGCAGGGATGGCCAACTCCAGCGCCCCGAGAGCCCAGGCTGGGACCAAGTGCCCTGAGCAGGGCTTGAGGTGACTCCGCCCAGGGCACACCTTCTTTAGAGGGGCCAGGGACTCGGCTCCCACCAAACGCCGCTGTGCAGGAATGCCTGCTCCGAGCCACCAGAGCTGAGCTATTTCAAGACAAGGTAAAGGTGTGGATTTAAAAAAACTAAATAGCTCAGTTTACATAGGGTTAGCAAATAATTAAAATCAAACAAGCAAACATATCTGAGGGTATCCAGCGGGTGGCTTTGGTCTGCCACACTTCTCTGGCCCTCAGACGTCTTTCCCGAAGAAGTCCCATGTGTACCTACACCCAGAATTCTGCATACGCCACCAGGGTTACAGCTCGCTATATCTCGCCTGCGACTTCCTAAAGTCCAGCGCAGAACCCTTACCGTTGGGTACATTTTGGGAAAACATTATCATTTGTAGCCTCTGAGCTCAGACACCTCTAAAGAGTCTGTTTCATGAACAAACTTCACTGCAGACTGCAGGGGTGCTCCCAGAGCTACCAGGAGCCGTTTTCCTGTGTCTGTGCTGCAATCCTCAGGATTGCTAATGTGGGTGAGAGGGCTGGGTGTCTGAAGCTTGGAATGTTCCAGAAACACTGCTGGCATGTTGACTTACCCAAGATTTCCATGAGGACATGACAGGCTGAGAGAGCCCCACGGCCAAACTTATCACAAGACCGAGGGCACTGCCGTCCTCCCTGGCAGCTGGGCGACCATGTCCAGTGACAGGAGCCCATAGGACTAGTGGTTTGAAAGGCAGTGCTTTTTTTTTTTTCAGTACAGTTTTCACATTTGGTGAGAACAAAACAAAATAGAAAGTTTTGCAGAGCTGGGGGACTTTGGAGTGTGGGCTTCCTTGAACCACCGTATGAGTAAGAATTAGGAGCTAACCAGGAATAGAGTGAGGCAAGACTTACACAAATTGTACACGTGCTCAAAAAAAAAAAGACAATTCCACAGGGTTCACTACTGGACCGAATGGCACCCCAAGTCGGGTGGGCCTGGCCGGTCTGAGTTTCAGCCAAGCAGGGGAAGAAAAATCTCAGTATGTGGGTGTTCTGGCCTTTTGTTTTATATCTTATATGTATGTTTTGTTTTGTTTTTCTCACTTGAGAATATTTTTTCCTTTGCTCTTCAGAGAGAGTGGACGGGGGAGAGAGAGAAGAGAGAAACACATCGACTGGTTGCCTCCTGACGTGCCCAGACTAGGGACAGGGAGTGGATCTGCCACCCAGGTACGTGTCCTTGACCAAGAATCAAACCCACAACCCTTCAGTGTGCGGGTCAACGCTCTAACCACTGAGCGCACCAGTCACAGCCGGCCTTTCATTTTTAACTTTTTGCTGCCCAGATTGTCAGGGACTTGGTTAGGGTTTAAAATCACTACACGGGGCGGGGGCGGGTGGAGGGCAATGGAGCGGTGACAGCCTTCTCTGGGCTGCCCCTCTCTCGATTAATGAAGTCCTTCCTCTGAGGCCTGAGATTGCAGAGAACCCCTGCTCGGGGGCCGTGGCTTTGGGAGAAGGGGAGGGGAGGATGTCTCGGGACAATGTCAAATCTGCCCTATGAGAGCGCCACGCCGGGGAGTCTAGCATCTGGACTTATCAATGGCTTTCTCTAGAAAAGAACGGAAGATGTCTCCACATTTTCCCAAGTTTTTTATGGATGTCCGTTGGTTTTAACATTCGGAAAAGGGTTCTGTGGGCAAAGAAGCTTAGGAAACATTTGTTTGTTTGGCTGCAGGACGTCTCAGGGCCCTTCGTGCACTTAGGTGCATCATGGATCTCCAAGACAGCAGTCCAGTAAAGACCATTTTCTAGACATGTTTTCCCACAACATGGAAACCGGGTTTTAGCAGAACATCGTGTGAGGCTCTGGAAGGACTGAGATTAAGAGTCACCTTGTCCTAAAAAATTTCTCAAGACGTACGGTAAATTGTCAAAGGTCTTGCCTCCTTGGGAGAGAAAGCCAGCTGGGATCATAGTAGAAACTGTGAGTGGTCAGATGTATGTAAAGAAGGGAGCGAATGACTTCCTGTTAAGGACTTCCTTGTCAGCCTTCTCCCTGCTTCTTGGCTTCGTGCACCAGGGTGCTGAGGGGCTTCCTGGTGACTGCACATGACTCTCTGGCTCAGGTTTCCCTAATCCTTCTGCTTCAGTGCCCCTTCCTCCATGTCCCTTGGCCCGAATCCTACCTGCCCTTCACCCACGGTCCATTTCAAAGGCAACCCCTCCAGTAGGCTGGTAGGCACGCTCCCTAACCTTTCCCTTTGAGCTTCTGCAGCATGGTGCCCAGCCTCCCCCCAGACAGACCTGCCTTCATTCCTGTGGTGTTTGTTGCACTGATCTTCATACAGGAAACTTTTTAAGGTCAGGACGGTGTAGTCTACATGGGCCTAACCCAGAGGCTTGACTATAGTGTAGCCATAGAGCATAAGGATTTACAATGGTCGGTCTGCCTCCTTGCCAGCTGTGTAACACTCAATGAGCTATCTTGGCTGTAAGTCTCGGTTTCTGCATCTGTAAAATGGGGACAATAAACAGTCTATATCAAAGGGTGGTGGGGAGGTTGAGATAATGCAGAAGCCAGGCTGGGATCAAGCTCTCCCATGTGAGTGGCTGTGACCATCATAACCTCCATCATGTGAGGCTGCTGTGCTTCTTTCTCAGGGAATAGCCAGGCTTCGGTCACTAGCAGAGGCTAAAGAAGGGATGCTGGGGATAAGACCTTTAAGAAGTTGGCTTTATAGAAAAAAACAGGATGAGGTACAATTAGCAGAGTGGTGGTTGGAGGTAATAGGCCTTTAAAATACTTAAGCAGCCTAAGTGTGTCACCTCTAATCTTGTTTACATGGTCAGTTTGCTTAACCAACTCTTCCTGTGTCACTTGTCCTGTCTTAATGATCACAATCCTAAACTAGGGGGGTCCAAAGGAAGCAGGGGTTACTGTAACGATGAGAAGGAGGGGGAGGAATGTAACACGCCAGAGATTCTTGCCTGCAATTCTACAACCCACCATGTCCTTTTCTACAGAAGAAGTGGGATTCAGAAAGATGAAGTAATTCTTTGGTTCTAGTTCTAGGAGCCCAGAGTCTGACTGCCACCTTGCTCGGGGAGACCCAGGCCCCACGCAGGAGCTTCCGGGACTGTGTGCAGAGGGTGTGTGGGGGCCCTGCCAGGTGAGTGTCTTGGTTGGGAGTGGAGCAGGCAGGGGTAGGATGGAGGATGGCATCAGAATTGACTTTTAATTTCTCTACTCATACCTCCCCCACAGCCACCCCCCAAAAGTAGGGACGTTTGGTCCATGACAGTGTCAGAAAAACAAAAACCACCGGCAGGAATCTCCTGGACACATGCTCAATCAGAAGGAAAGGGCAGTGCACTCCCGAGTTACCCTCAAACCCTCCACGCTCTGCATCTTGGACAGAGAGGTGGTGGATAACCAGAAGTAGGGGGGAATCTTGGTACTTCTGGAGTCTGTGCAGACGGGTTAGAAACACCCTGGGGGGAGGAGGGGACAAATGCACAAACCTAGCATGTGTCCCTGTCTTGAAGTCCTTTCATCATTACACACATCCCTATACTACCAGATGTTCCCTGAATCCAGAAGTTCTAAAACCTGGGCCAAATCCCCATTTTTCCATCCCTTCTTTCTCCTGCCTTGCTCAGCATGGCATGGAAAGGTGCTCAGTACTACCTGTGTGACCTTGAGCAAACTGGGCCTTAATTTCCCCATCTCTACAATGGGGATAGTACTGACCTCAGGGTTTTCAGAATCATTCCATCAAGGTAAAGTGTCCAGCACAGAGTACATGTATGTATGAATATAAATAAACATACATGCACTTATACATAAGAAACAGGGCTGAGACGTCCCAAACAAGTCTGCTGCCCTCCATCAGTGACCAGGAGTGTGACAGCCAGTGAAGGGAGGCACCATAGGGAGCTGTGTAGGCCAGGGGTTAGGGCCACAGACCGTGGGTTTACATTCATCCCCACAGTTTACTGGCTAGGCCTGTGAGCAGGTATTTACTCTCCTTATGCTTCAGTGTTACCATCTGTACGACGGAGACCATAATAGTCCTCATATTTCATCAGGAAGATGTGGGGATCAAGTAAGACAAAGCATGCTCAGTCTTTAGCACATGCCTCTTGTGTGCTGAACAAATGGTAGCAGATCATTTAATTGATGATATTTCTCTGCCAGCTGCCTTAGGAACCCTGGACACATCTGTTTTACACCCCAGCCCCCCGAGGAGTACAGTGCCTGGGAGATGGAAAGAGGAGATGAATTTCTGAGCCTGAGTTGGAAACCAGCTTCGGCCATACCAGCTTTTGGAGATCATGCACTTTGACTGTGAGTACCTATCACACAACCCTGCTGTGGGAAAAAGAATGAGGTGGTGCAGGTCCACGCCATGAAACCAGCACATGAGAAAAATGTAAGAAGTGGTGGACTCGTTTTAAAAACGTGGCTGTTATTTTTCTCAATGAACAAAAAGGTCACTTTAACTCTTGGTGACTCTGTTTTCTATATTCTATGATAGGAAAGAGACTGAACAATTTTAATGAATACTCCAGTGGTGTTTTGGGGTTTGGGGTTGCCAGTAGTAAGTCTTGAGCTTTTGTCCTATGCTGCTCTCATGTCAGGGCTCTGATCAGGCTGTGGCTCACCCCCTCCCCGTTATCAGCCCCACACACGTTCACTCTGACTCAGCCAACAGGAAGGGAAGGTTGAATGACCTACTTCAGGAGAAGGCCAGTCCCGGGAGAGACCCTGCAGTGGAGAACTTGCTAGAGTCCACAAAAGACTGGTCTGATTATGGCGACCACAGGGAATGAAGGAGGAGAAAGAAAAACGGTGGCATTAGTAAACGGAATCAGTATTCTCGAGCAAATCCAGGGCCTGAGCAGAATTCCTGGAGTTGGAAAGAGGGCTGCTCAGGCAAGTCCAGCAGAGGAGGGCTGGGGCCAGGGCCAGTGAACACAAAGAACAGAAGAGATGAGGGCAGAGAGAAGCTGGTTCCCTCTGCAGCAGAGACACATCTGCTTCAGGCCTGGGAGTGTGGAGTCAGGGCATCTGGTTGGCCCGATGGGGCCTGGGGCTTACCTTGCAGGCTGTTCCCGTTGGTGCTGGTGCAGGTGGGAGGCGGGGAGGTCTGGGGTCTGACAACTGGTGCGAAAGCACTCTTCTGTTTCACGGCTGAGACCATGTTGGCTGGTGAGAAGGAGAAGATGCCGGAGGAGCTGCTGCAGTTGGAGGGGAGGCTTGTGGAAGAGGCCATGGTGGGGCTGGATGGCACGACTGGGAGAGGCAATGGGAAAGCAGAGATTAGCAGCTCTCCAGGCATCCCAACACAAGGTGGCTCAGACTGCCCCCCCAGCCTGGGCCTTCCCTGAACGCGCAGGAGCTGGTCTGCTTTCATCATTGGTACAGGTACTTGGCACGTGCTACCTTCTGTTGGTGGTGATCTTCTTTGTGTTTATTGTGGGTCTACTATGTGCCAGGAGCATGCTAGGCACTGGGTGCCCCAGGCCAGGGAACAACGTGCTCTTACAAGGGTTAGGGTAGCACAAAATAGCAACAAAAGTGAGCCTGGCCAACTCTGTAGAGGTAGGAAAGGGAAACCAGAGAAGGCTTCGTAGAGGAGGTGTCAGGGAAAGCATTCCTGGTGGAGCCTAACATGAGGTTCTAGCAAAGGGGTTGGGGATATGAGGTAGAAGGAGGCCAGCCTGAGAGTACATGGTGACTGCTGGAATGAGAGGGTGTGAGGAGGAAGGGTGACTGAAGGCAACACCAGGATTCCAACTGCAGGCACTGACAGCAGGAGGTGTGTATGTGTGGGTCCCTTTCCTCCCCATGATGGTATGGGTTCCTTAAGAATATGATTGTACCTTGATGCTCCACAACACAGAGATAGTCTATTTGTCTATCTTGCCTCCTACCTATCTGTCATGTGAAACCTTTGTAGCTCATGCAGAACTACAAGTCAACATTCCAAATCCCCTCTATACCCCGTGAAGTGGAATGTAAATGTTTGTGAATTAACAAGCAGTATGATAGGAGGAGTCTTATGTAAATACTCCCAGTCTGGTAGGAGTGGGGATGTGGATTATCAATGATGGGAGAACTGGCGTGGGCAATTCAGAGAGAAAGAACACCTAGCTGCTTGGGAATACGAAAGAGTTTGGGAGACACACCTTCTCTACCAACAACGGTCCTCTCATCTTTTGTTGGTCACTAATCATCTCTTGATTACTTTAGGAGACAGAGATGTTGCACCCTCTAAGTCAGGGGTCCTCAAACTACGGCCTGCGGGCCACATGCAAATACAAATATTGTCTTGTTCCCGTTTTGTTTTTTTACTTCAAAATAAGATACGTGCAGTGTTCAGAAGACATCTTCTCATCTTTTTCAGCTTATGTCATTGGCCAAGCAAGTTAATTTGGGGCCTATTACATCTTTTTACGCTTGAGCAAATGGAGCCAGCTGAAACTCAGAAAACAGTAGTGTGACTTGCCCAAGGGCGATAGCTAGAATGGTGAAGCCAGGAACCTCACCCCAACTCAGTGCTCTTTCTACCACACTATCCTGCAGAAGAAAAAGAGAGCCAGGAGAAAAGGCTCCCCTCCCAGGAGCCCACCAGACTCGCAGGGGCTGCGGAGGTGGGCTTACCCTTGGCCTATTGACTTGAGAAAGTTAAGGAAGTGGAAATCAAATTGGTCACAGGCAGCAGTTGCCAGTGGGGAAGTGACCCCTCGAAATGGGTTCTCGGTGGCACACAATCGAAGGCACTGAATGCTTTTTAGAGAAGAACACAGAGCCACCATCCTCGGAGTTTCCACAAACATTTCCTAAACTGTACTTTTTCTTTTAATGAGGCCAGCATTTTTATACACCTCTTAGGATTTGTAAATGTGAAAATACGCTCAATAATAACACCCATTTAAATTGCAAAACCCCTACACTGGAGGTTTGGTTTTTAAATATTCCTAGACTTGAAATCATGCTGGTTTACCAAGGAAGGCAATTAATCTCATTGGCAAATAAGATGGTGATGTGTATTTAGGGGTGGGGAGTGTGAGCAGAGAGAGGGGTGAGAGATAGTCAAGCAGTTCCATTTGTTACAACGTTATTAGTTACCAGCCAGCACACCAGAAAGTGTGCTCACCAGTGGAATGTCTTATTTTACTTTTTTTTTTTTATCCTGCGAGGGATTTTTCAACATGAGTGGTTTATAAATAATTAAGTCTTATGGAAGCAAAAATTTGAATCTGCTGGGCTTGGTGTTTATTGTTTTATTTGCATTTATGCAGATGAAACCGTCCCATCTGAGAGCTTATTTGAGAATTTAATACTATATTTGTGAGCACTAAGGAAATCAATTAATGGAAATTAAGTGTTCGAAGTTTCCCGGGCTGACAGATGCAATCTCAGGCTGAAGTCGCTTGGTGTCTGCACGGGCTTTGAGAAGACGGAGCAATCCAAGCCCTTAAATTGAATTGCTACCATATAGCAATTAGTTTATTGATTTAATTAAGAGTGCCACCTTTTAATTTTCAGGTCATGATGGAAACATTTTCTGATTGAATAGATGGGAGAACACTGAACTGATAGATCTATGAGAAACAACCTTCCCATGAATCAAAATCTATGTGGAACTGGCCCTCAACGTCGACTCTCGAGCAGACAGACATAATGTAAGCGGGTTATTGGAGAGGGAAATTCTAAATGTTCAACAAGCTGATGATTCCAAACAAAGTAGAAATACTTAGCACACACTTAGCCCAGAAAACAAAAGGCCCTAAGTATTGCTTTCAGAAATAACTTTGAAACTTTCCAAGGATTAGCACTCTCCACATTTCCACCATAAGAGACAGCATCACTTTCAGTATTTTTAGCTAAACCTCATTTAAAAAAAAAAAAAAATAATGAATATTCTTTCATTGAACAATACATCTTCTATCATCCTATCTTCCTACAAATGCCTAAGAGTTTGGCCACATTTCACACAACAAGAGTCACGCACATCGTCCAAGATGAACTTGGTTGTCTATATAAATATCCTCAGAGGGAGACCAAGAGAATGTAGAGACATATCATTGAGGCTTTTTAGGTGCAATCTAAATGTGGCACCAGAAAAATATCCTAAGGTACACTTCTTTAAGACAAGAGCCAAGAACATTTCTTGTGTCTGTGTGTGTTTCCTGTGCCAGGTTTTTGGAAAAAATAAAGTGTTTTTTTATTTTCATTGGTTGGTTGTTGTTTTTTTTAAGTGCATATCAAACACAAAGGGGAAAAAAATTCCAACCATTAAAACAACAAAGGAAATCAGAGTCCTCCCAGAGCCACCAGAAGGAACCCAGTCCTGCCAACCCATTGTCGACCTCTGACCTCTAGAACTCAAGGTAATAAAGTTGTGTTGTTTTTAGGCACTAAAAACAAAGGAGTCATATTCCTAAAGGAAGAGAGTTTATGTTTTACACTATTGTTACTGTGCTATATTACCTGCCCCTCTCACTATTATCATTATGATCAGTACTTAGATTCACTGCATGAGCCTCTCATGGGTCAGGCACCAGGGACAACTGATGGCATTCATTCTTTTATCAAAGTCTCACAACAGCTCTCTGGGATGGAGGCTAGTTCCCCTCCATTTTACAGACCAAAAAACTGAGACTTGGAGAGGAGATCAGCTTCCCCGGGGCCACCAATTAGTGACCCGTCTCCATCTGATTCCAGGCTTGGGTTTTTGCTATAATATCATACTGCTGCTTGGGGTTGCAGCAAAGTTCTGATGGTTAGGGCGGTTCTGGGGGGAGAAAGGGGAGGCAGATGTGTCTAATGGAAACAGTGCTGCCCCCAGCATCACCTGGGTCAATGCTGGGCTGGCAGGGCACTGCCCAGAGAGCTGCACAGTGGGCCACACAGCACAATGCTGAGTTCCCTGCAGAAAACATAGGACACACATCTGTACTTACTGGCATAGGGCGAGTTGGCAGCCGAGCCGTTGAGGAAGGTTGGGGAGCCACCCAAATTGGACATGGCAGCCGTGCCGTATCCATTCATGCTCGTGGTGACGGAGTTATAGTTGGTCTGCTGGGGGGTGGTGCTCGGCACGTATCCGTGTGGTGAGACACTGCTTGAGTTGCGGGTGAAACCTGAGGGGTGGGGACAAAACCAGGGGTGAGGGTGGCATCCAGGTGGGTGGCAGTCCTGGAAGACGGGGCAGGGAATGGCTGTCCCCATGCTGTGCCCTGGAGGAAAGGGGTTGGTGATTCATGGGAGGGGCTGGTGGTGCTGGCTCTGATTAAAATGGGAAGCCAGCAAAGGCACATTTCTTAGGAGATCATAAATACTTAGCAGGGCCCTGAGAAGTGGCAATGCAGGGCCCATAAATCATCATTTTGGAGCAGAAATCCCAATTTACAAGATGTACCCTGAAGTGAACAGGTTCCTATTCCCTGGTTTTGAACGCTGTGCTTTGGCCCCTCAGAACTGTAATTCCCGCCCTCTTTGCGGTCTGTCACTCTTGGTTGATGGTGAGAAGTCTGGTGCAGCGGTGGCTCCAGGCACGCATCACTACAGCCCCTTCTACCAGCTTCCCTGACAAAATGCCACAATAGTGCCTGATGCACACTGGCAAGGAATCTCCCCTTTTGGTTTGTAGCTTCAGGTTTGGAAGGGACAGGGGGACAGAGAGGAAGAAGAGCAGGCTCCTGACCCTGATTGGTGGCCTGCGAGGCCTCGGAGACATTCACGGCCAGTTGTCCACTGAAGGAATTCACGCCCATCATGCCCGCGTGGACAGAAGTGTTAGTGAGGGCTGGGAGCTGACTGTGGTTGCGGGGGACACTGTATAGGGCCTCTGCGATGTCAGCCGCTCTCTTCAGAATAATCTCCTGGAAAGTAAGAGGAGCACCCCCATTAGCTACCCCATCACACCCCAGTGACGCCACAGTCAGGGGCTCACTGTGGACCATGCTCCGGGCTTTCCATGGCTTCCCATGGATAATGGCATTAATTTCTGCACCCGTCTCTGCAGTCCTTCAGGTTTAGTCTCTTCGTCATCACCCTCATATCACAAATGGGGGAACTCACCTATTTTAGGACAGAGTTGGGCTGCAGAGCCCTGTCTGTCTGACTTGGGAAGCCCATTATCGAAGCCTTCCCTCCATACCACCTCACAGTCTATGACAGCGCCCTGGGAACACACAGGAACTCGAGGCTATACACCACACACACACACTGCAGCCCCTTCTCCTGCTGAAGTTTAGGGAAGGTTGTAGATAACTCTCTGGGTCCCTGAATATTAGTGGGACTGTGTCCCCTGCACATTGACTCAGGTGGCACAAAAAGTGAATTATTTGTCCGACTCATACTAGCATCCTCATACAAGGATGTGCTCTAGGAAATAGAGGAAGACAGTTATATTCAGATCTTGTTATACTTTTTAGGAGAAGAAATTAAACCCTTTTTTCCCCTCCTCAATTGGCTTGAAAACCCCGAGGAATAAAATAAAGCAGCAGTAACTCTCTCCCTCCATCATGAAGTACATTCCCACAGAAGATTTCGTTTTAAACAGAATGCCTCTTCGGGTAAGGAAAATGATCATAGTAGAAAAGGCAATAAAAATTTTTACAAAAGAAGAGAGAAGAATTGAATGGCTTTGTAACGTGATGTGTCTGAATGGCTTAAACACTGAACTCGTGCAAGGGACTTTTATAGTTTCCATACGTTTCCATTACACCAAGGAATCTGAGACCTTACATTGAATGTGGAGCCCACATAGGTTGGAGGCCCCATTCGCTCACCTGGTTGTTGTGTGGCATCCCATACAGCGCTTCCACCAGGTCCGCAGCCCTCTTGAGTATGACTTCCTGTTGGGAGAGAAGCAGACACAGGCCTCTGAGTGAAAGCAGGATGTCCTTATCCTGGCCACTCTCTGCCAAGGCACTGCTCTGAAGGCAGTAGCTCCGGGAACCCCCGAATGGCGCTAAATCACCAATTTGTCCCTGTTCACATACACACTTAATCGAGTCAAAAGGTGAGCATCGTTGGTGCTGCAAGATAAAATACATCACTCAAGCGCCTGCCATAGGCACGATAAAGCGCTCATGTGTTTATTGCCGAATACAATTGCGAGGTCATTTACTGGATGACTACAATCGATGTCATTCAGTGCATGTTATGAATCCCTAAGATGCGTTTATTTTGCACTTAATTGCTTATTCCAGGCACCATGACCTTATCAGACAGGTCATTTTCGAGGGATTTCCAATCAATCTTCAGCTACTACAAGCATGTAGCATTAAACTTCTTTATCTCCATTGTGTGGCACAATCCCGACATAAGGGGGTGACATAGTCAACTCACACTCCTCGGCCATGCACTGCTTGTCGAAGGCTCTCACCAAAGGGGTCTCCTGCCCCCAGGAGCTCCCTCTGCACGGGTTCTCACGACTGGCAGTGTCTCCTTCATAGTGATTCTTCTCTATTCCAGGATTGTTAGTATCTTCCCTATTTGTTCATTCATTCTCATCTGAGATCTATGCTCTGCTGTTCGCTCCCCTCCCCACTGAATAAAATATGTCTCCATCTTTTCATTTAGGTAGGCTTCCATATTTGGCTTGCATGCTTGTTTCCAATAATATACGGCACTCCACAAAAGTGTGTGTAGTGGTATTTTTTTGTTGTTGTTCTAACCAAATGCAATCCTTCCCTCTTCATTTTGCCCTAATTTTTTGCAGATTCATTTATACTGCAAAATGTGATACATGTAGAATGGAGGCTTATCAGAGAACCAAACCTAAACGCATGCTTGGCTATCAGAGGTGACTTGCAAAAAGACATGTTTACAATTTTTTGCTGTGGGTAAAAGTTTAAAAAAGAAGCCTAACTTTATTTTACACAATCAATTTCTGCATGGAGACGTAGCACCACTCCATTTTCATACACTGGAGATGCTGATCAGAAAATAGGGACATAATTGCATTCATTTTGCCGTCACCATAGCCTCTTCAAAAAATTCTAGAACAAGTCTTGAAGTGACAAGCTCTTAGATACATATTAGCATTTCTCAATGTTAAATTCTCCATAATACAAGATAAAATAGTTGTCATACTGCAGTGACTACTATTATGTATGTCCTAAATTCAAAAATGAGGGATAGGGGTTTTCAGTTCCTTAATAAACATTTATGCTTGCCTTAAGCTGCTGGACCCCATTTACAAAAAACAGTCCAGTTATTTTTCATAGCAGGAGTGAAAAGTAGTATAGAATCAATGGGGTTTGAATCAATACATCTGAAATAATCCCTTTATGTTTCTAATGCAAGCGAGCAGCTAATTTACAGCCTTTTGTTTGCAGTATTGTCTGACCACAGCAGTTAATAATTCACCGCGCGATGGGCACGCTGAACCCTCGCCACGGATCAAATTCAGCTCCACTGCTCTCTCTGTGGAACCTCGCGGCTTTCTCTGGCTCACAGGGAAGATGAAAACAAAACAAGACCCAGATAGTTTACTTACTAAGATTTTACTTCTCTGGGTCTATGTTCACCTATTTCTTCAAATACGTATTTATGCCAGTGTTTTGGGGTTGGCAGAGAAAGTATTTTTTCTTCCTTTTCATTTTGACAAAAAACAATACACGTGTCCTGTTTGTCCAGAGCAATAAGACGGGGAGTTTCTACACTTGTGAGCACTGTCGTCGTTGAGGATTTCGAGCGGTGCTTCCTAATTTAGTTAATTGCACAGAACCAGGGAGGAGGGCAGTCAATATAAACCCCAAGATCTTTGAAGTTTTTGTGAACCTGAAAAAAAGGCCAACTACCCATGTGTGCTATATGTTTTAATGTCATATATATTGTGTGATAAAGGTTTTCAATGATTTAATCCACGTGGTTTTTTCTTCATGTCAATACCTAGAGCTCTCCTCGCCATTAATCCTTTGAAAATGGAACGCCTGAATCTTGTTTCCTAAGGTTGACTTCTTCTTTGATTCGTGAAGCTGGGCCATGCGTTGCAACCTGGCTTCCTGCTATGGGTGGGTCACCGGCCCCACACAGCTTCAGACCAGCCGTCTCGAGGAGGGTGAACCTGGGTTATCACTTCAGCGATGTCCTTAAATGATATCTCGCCCATTTCAAAACGTCCCCCACTGCGGCATCCACTGTGGGGTTCACAGGAGAGCCCACATCTTGGTACTGCTTTGCCCATGTGACTCAGCTTCTATTAGTTATTTCCACAAATGGGAAGGAGAAAGGAAACGTCCGGGTCCTCTATGAGTGAGTGCCACGGGCCTGCAAGGTGCTTGGATTTCGGTGACCAGAAAATTGCTCTCACCTCCATGTCATTACGCTCCCAGGGAACTAGCCCCCAAGCGTGTTTGTGTTGGGATCTAATATATTGCCTTTCAATCAGGGCTGAGAGCCCCTGAACACACCGACAGAACATGACGAGCAGGTCAGGAAAGCAATAAAGATTTTACAGAGCTGTCCAAGGTGCTAAATTTACTCAATAATGGGTTTGGCACCATAGTGTTAACCTCTCATTTACTACCAGTTTGAGGGACTAAATTGAAGTAGCTGACTTCATTTACCTTGAAATGTATATTTTATGACATTATGTAAGTAGATGGAAAGGGCACTGCCGTTTTAACAATTTAAAGGCTAGAGCCCGTTTAAGATGAAACTTGAATATTTATTGTATATTGCACTTAAAGTATATAGAATGTTAAAATGTATTGATTAAATTTGTAAAAGGCATTATAACAATGACAGGTAGTATAAAAGATGTATGCCTTTTAAAATCAAATTGATAGTATATGCTATCTTTTCTGTGGTCACAAGTGTAATTTTTTTGCAGTTTTATATGGTAATTGGAAAAATCTGTAATTTCACATTAGGAAATGATTGAGCCTGAGATGTGGGGGAGGGGGGGAGAAATCTCTTATAAAGGGAAGAGCTGGATGTTTCATATCATCTTTTGTCTCTGAAATTGTTCCTCAAGTCTTAGTTTTGTGGCATTAGGAGGGAGCATGGAATAAGGATCCTTAAGCTCTAATATGCAATTTTAATATTTCTGAGAAGAAAGAGCACTTGACTAGTACTAATAACTAATTTTTCAAGGCATTTATTTGTCAGGAGAGATTTCCTCTTCTTTTCATAATGTTTAAAACGTCTCCCCGCTTGCAGTTTAAAACATGAGGGTAGAGATTAGATTCTTCCAGGATAATTAATCCTATCTTTGGATTTTTAAAAAATACCCCTTGGGGGAATTAAGAAGACAAATACCAGATCCTAAATATTGAAAAGCTTGGGAGTCTCCTTCCAGAGCTCATGCTTGTGCTCAGATTCATTCCGAGTTGGACTATTTTTTTTCTTTTCATGGCCTCGGATTTCTTCATTAAAGAAACAGAAAATGTTTACTTCTTGAAAACAACAACTTTTCACTCATCTATTCCCTCTCACAATTAAAACCTGGTTGCACCCGTCTCGCCATGACGGTCACTTGATAATTATATGAATGGGGGTCCGAAGAGAGAGAAAATGGATAAAAGTAAATCTATTTCGAGTTTGCAGACACACTGAGAAGACAGAAGGGCAAATGGAGTCCTGAGAAATAGCCCAGGTGCAATTGTTCCAGGTTTTACTTGGGTTTGAAGCCTTTATCATAACAATGCGGAGTGGGGTACAGATACAGAGGGAAGATTCCGCTGTGCTCCTTGCGTTGCAACCCAATCAATCAGCAAATATTTTTTTTTAGCTTCCTGTGGCCCAGTGGTCATACACTGATGATTACTTGCTCTCTAGAACCTTTCAGAGTATGCTGTCTTCCCAGAATCAAGGTACAGAGTTCTACTGGGATTACAAAAGATTCCCCCCAACAGTCTGCTCCTACCCTCTCTATCCAATCTTATCACCCTGCACATATAAAGAACTGCTCACTATTCTGGTCTAGCTAGTCTTCCTCGCCTGGAAGTAAAATGTGAGGCTCCTTCCTTTCTCCACACCTTCACTCCTTCTGTCTCTCCTGTATTTCAAATGCTGGCTTCAAGCTGCAAAAACTCCTTCCCACCCTCTAAAGCAGCGGTTCTCAGCCTGTGGGTCTCGACCCCTTTGGCGGTCGAACGACCCTTTCACAGGGGTCGCCTAAGACCATCCTGCATATCAGATATTTACATTACGATTCATAACAGTAGCAACATTACAGTTATGAAGTAGCAACGAAAATAATTTTATGGTTGGGTCACAACATGAGGAACTGTATTTAAAGGGCCAGAAGGTTGAGAACCACTGCATGGTGGTGGTGGTGGTGGTGGTATAACAATGACAAAAATAACTATGGTTTACTGAAAGTGGGACATTGACTCATTCAGAGAGCCTGTTAAGGTATTGTCCATATCACCATTTCACAGATAAAGAAACTGAGCCTCAGAGAGGTCAGCTAGCTTTCCCTGAGTTCACACAACTGATAAATGAATGAGCAGGGATTCACGCCCAGGCCTGTTAGACATCAGAGCCTGAGCTTTTGAGAATTACATGATTCTCTCAGAATAAATCCCACATTCACTGGTACCCCAGCTCCTAATCTTTCTTGCTCTTCTGAAAAATAGTGCTGACTACCACCCAGCACAGCAGGACAAGCATCATGCTGCTACAAGGGTCATTCTGCTCTACTCTTAAGTGTGTGAATGTTCGCTCTCCACACTAGGCTGTAGGTCCTTTAAGGCCAGTGATGTGTCTCAGTCTCCTTCTCTCAGCCTCTAGCACAATGTTTACCAAATCAAGGGCCCTGAGAAATTCTTGTTGAAGAGTTTATTCTAAGATAGTTACTGATTTTTAAAAGGGCATGCTTAATATACATGATGAAATGGCA